GTATTAGAATTAACAACCGAAATCGGAACAGACTCACCTGGCTCTTGGAATTGTATTTGATCAACATGTCGATTGTGTGTACTTAAGTCATTGATATCTAGAAGTCGCACCATAGATTTCCCAACATTCTTCAGAACAATCCCCGTGGATGGTCGAAGATCATTGCCACGATAATATGTAACTTCTGCAGACTCCAAACATCTCATATTCGACCGAAGAATTCTTCCTTTTAATAGTTTTGATGGAGTCTCTTTCGTCACCGAATGTCTGGCATTTCTATATTGCAGTAGAAAGGTATCTACTCCCCTCTCCAGCTCATTAAATGTTGAGGCAGCAATAGAATCACTCAACCTCGAATGCTGATTTTTCAGCTTATGACACTTTTCGCAATTCTTTGCTGTACGACAAATATCTGCATTTAATGACTGTCGAGAAATGTAGTCAACATGTTGAATTTGCTTGGCACTCCCGTGCTGAACCATTTTCATACTTCCATTGCACTTAGCACACGTGGCTTTCAAATCTTTAAGTACAGCATCAGAATTTTCTTTAGAAACTAGGAAAGACAACTCCACTTTAAGTCTTCTCAAATTCTTTAAACCCAGTATTGACAGTCCTGTTTCACTAACTAAAAATTCACAAGGTATATATGAGGAATTATCATCTCTTATTAGCAATTCACAACATCCTCGTATAGGCAGTTTGTGTCCAGTAATCCCCAATATTGATACATCAGTGGGTCGTATCACAACGTTCGGATCTAACGATTTCAGGTTCTTGAATGAAATAATGGACTCTATACTGCCTGTGTCCACAATAAAGTCATGAAACGAACCAAGTGATGTATATAGTCGCTTTTGAATATGAGCATTACCTTTCGAAATGGTAGTTAAAGATAAATGATCATTAGGATCAGCTGAATTATTGGAATCTAAATTACAAGCTTTAGCACTACTTGAGGCAAAATGAACAGTAGCTTTGCATACTGCTTGAACGTGTCCTATCTTACCACATCTAAAACATTTAGCATTACGAAATGTACAATAATAACGAGAATGAAGTTTTCCACATGATAAACATTTGCCAAACTTGGTCTCACCTTCTTGATTTCCTTTGTAATTCTTTTTTGAGACACCGTTCATATTTACACGTGAATAGGAACCACTGTTAAACGAACACAATTTTGATTGACCCTGAGATTGTATTTCATCATGACAACTAATCAAAGTATTGGAAATCTTCATCGACTGAATATCAAGTTCATTCAACGCCTCGTAGTTAATGCACGCAGTTCTAACATCTTGAAAGGAACAGTTTGACATTCTTAACAGCTCTCTTTCCAAACTAGGTATGTTAATTCCTGCAATTAATCGGTCTCTCAGCTGCACATGAAGTTGATCACCGAAATTACATTTGACAGCCTGTTTCTGCAATTCAAGAATGAATTCCTTAACATTTTGGTCATTTTGACGAATCATCTTATGAAATTTCGCTCTCTCACGGCATTCAAAACCAGGGCACTTTACATGATTCAATAATAACTCCTTTAGCATTGCATAGGGAAGTGAAATAGGTTTCTCTGGATATGCCAAGGTTTTCAATAAGCTGTACGCTTCTTTTCCGATGAATGTTAGGAAATGAGCCACAATTTTATCATCTTTGACATCTTTCCTGGTCATACTCCAGATTTCAAACCTTTCCAAATAATCTTCAAAAGCTTCAGAAGTAGAATGAATATCTAGCTGTTCCATTACAAGTTCCATCGCGACGCCACTGTGATGCTTAGAAGTATATGAATCAAGAATTAAAGATCTACACCAACGAATGTATTGTATTTAGAATTCGAAATCAAGCATTTCACAACAACAAGAAGTTACTAGTTCATTCAAACACCACACTTATTCGGTTTTTGATTATTACCATCACACAAACGGGGTTAGACTGAGTACAATGAACAAAATTAAATCAAATATTTGTTTACATGAAGTATTAATCCTTGGCCTAAAATCAGAGTCAGATTTCGGGCTATCAAGATGTCGATCAGAGATTAAAGTTATCTTTGCATCACATCAGTCTTTATAATCAACCCAACCCTATAAAACAAAACTGTCAGCAAATAACTAGAAAAATCCATTATTCATAAGAATTTTGATTTAACTAAACCAATATGTATAGATATGTAGATAAATCTATTCAATTGCCTAAGAGAAACAAATCTTTATATGTATACATAAAAAATATTTTATTAAAAATATAGTAAAACTTTAACTTTTAAAATTACATACTATTTACAATTTAGAACTTCATTAATGAATCGAAACAAGTAAATAATTCCCACAAATTAATGTTGATCGTTTTAAGGCTATTTTATAAACATAACTAAATTCTACTCATGATCTAGAAAGAAAGTTAGGTATTTCTAATTGCACAATAAGTAAATATACATTGTCCGCACTTTTACAGAGTATATGAGTTTTTTGAAAGCAGAGATCGAAATACGTAGTTTCAATATTATTGTTTTAAAAAAACAAACATATAAAGATTGTCCAGCAGATTGGATAGTCAGCTTTCAGGAGTTACTGTATTCGAATAATGATGTATTAACACACTTTTACTTTTCATGTTATTTCCCCTTTCTTTTAGTTCTCTTCACCGTCATGACGATGCAGCAATCAACATGCATCTATGGAATGTCTCTCATCACATTGTACCATTACTCACACATTTGTGTTGGATAGAGGTTTATGGCAGTAACAAAACGCTTATTTGAAATTTTGGATGAAAGTTCTTTTCACAGAAACCTGATATGGCAGTTACTTCGAAACTTGCAGTAAGATGAAATAAGTGATGTAAACAGACATATTGCAACTGTTAATTTCAGTATTATTCTGTGGCACCAACAGGTCTTATTTATTTCATTCTAAGCTAACGCTGACTATCATAACGCATTAGCTGTAAAACGCACTAACTTTCACGTAGCTTACAAAGAGACCATCAATTGTTATATGAATGTTCCATTTTTAATGCTTAATTCATAGTGTCGTAATTGGCTTTTCATCTAGACTTAAATACTTACTTACTGTTCAGAGTTTGCTAGAAATTATCAATCGAAAGGAATACTATTCTGCAACGTTTTCAATAAAATTATTACCAATACTAAGGTGCAATGTGATGTTCAGTTACTTCATACTGAACAAGTATTGATCGCTCTACATTTCTAAGCGACTTCTAAGGCCTACAAGAAGAACGACTTCAAACATTAGAGACATGTCTATAAAGGGAAAACACAAAATGGGATGCATATAAGTATTTCTTATGACTAAAAGACTTTATTTCTTGATGTAATTGCTAAACGTATCTCGAGTGAAGCCATGTCGTCGATTAATATTGTGCCTACTTTGACTTGTAAGAGATAGGTTCGAAAAGCTATCTTGAAACTAGTCAACTAAGTTTATTTGCATAGAATAGAATATCCACCTACAAACAACTAAATTCGGTGGGATCACTTGATGCGCTAAAAATACGATTTAGGGATTAATGTTAACAGGTTACTTAAATAAACAATCGTTGTAGGTTTGCGAATAATAGAATTTCAATTCAAATATTTAAGGTTGTTCTCCGGAAAATTAGCTTCGTTAAATATGCTTGGCTCATTCAGAATAATATCAGTAAAAACATATTTAAAACTGTGAAGTGACAGACAGAAAGCGCTAAAACTATTCAGCAATCTACAAACAAACGAAACAGTTCGTCTACATTTCCGAATGCGCAGTCCCAAAGTTCCGTTAGTTCGAAAACAATAGTTTGTTTCATACTCCCAATAAGTTTCTTGTTAGTGAACATAACACTCGTTTTTAGAAAGAATTGCTGAAGTGTTCTTCATAACTTTTATTTGAAAATCATCTACTATTGATTTCTAGTGTTATGAAAACATAGTATTTCTACTTTAGATTATTCGTTTAATTTCCTTACATTTGACTATACTGTAGTATAGTTGATACATCATTAATTTTGTCCTGAATTGTTTTCGACATAAAGTATCTTGTAAAATCAATGAGAGCATAATTTCGATGCTTAACTACTGTACCTTGAAAGAATTCATTAATGCCCTCTCGTTTTGAGAAATTCACAGGATGAAGATGTATGGTAAAATACATATTCATTTGATATGTAGAATTAAATAGCTATTTGTTACTTTATATTTTGGTTACATAAAAGAGACGTCTATAGTTTATGTAGGCAACATTATATTATTGAATTTAAATTCGTCTGACATACAATAAGCTGCAGCATTGGTAACTATTGTTTAAACAGAGCTGATACGATTTGATTGTTACAGATTTTTTCAGTAGTGTGTAGACTTGATGTTAGTTGATCTACCCGAATAATTCTCACTCTCAGTTTGCAGAGTTAAAATCAATACAAATGAAGGAATTCCAAGGCAATTTTTAGTTGCAATGCTACTACATATTTGATATCCTATGATTTTTGTCCTAACCAATTTGACTATCTAAATTTGAATATTCATTTTTAGAATGTGTAATAGACTTTTATCCTTCTGGAGGACGATCTAAAACCAAAAAGTATTTAGCGGCTGTTTCATTTTATTTTGTGGCTTAGCGATGCTATTTAATACTAAACAAATGTTTTTCCAGCTTGTTTCCAGTATCAAGGGATTTGATACCAGTGAGTAACGTTGGCAGATTCTCATCGGATCCAACATCAGAACACATCATTTCAAATTAGTTATCAACAATCATTTGTCGTAATACCATTATCCTGGTGCATTGAAATTCTTTAGCGTATACAACCGCTTTTTCAATTGATCCATTTATTACATCATAGAAAGATGGCATAAACAAATCACTGTTCGAAGCGAAAGATTAAAAAGTCATAGCCAATTTGTCGATCATAATTTATTTAAATAGTAGTCAATGAAAAAAAAATCCAATCATTCTGATTACAAGATCAACTACTTACTACTCATAAAATTGAGTAGATTGTTTGAAATTAGTATAATATTATACAAGAAAAACCAGTGAGTGATTGTTTGTGTTGTTATATTCATGAATTTGCTTATTTAATTTAAAAAAAAGAAAGAAAATTTGTTTTTTCTTCATAAAAGCACAATTTAAACACGTAAATTAAGCCTTGCTTTATCCAAAATATCATTTTGAATTTTCGGATAATTTGGATAGATTGATAAAACCTGAATTATAATATGGGGGATATTTTAGGAAAAGCAAAGGAAAGCAAAGAAAATAATAATAATTTTATTACAATTGAAGTAGAGTAAATTTTTTTTCTAAAAAAAAATGAATTGGCCTAATATAAATAATACCAATACAATGTAGAACAAAGGCAAATACATTCATATCTATAATACCATATACAAAAAATATCTATCTACCTCATGAATATGATAATATAAATTTTAATAAAACAGGACCATATGGTGTTGCTTCTTATCAGCTATCTTTTTAATACAAAAAGAAGAAATTGTGATCAGATTAACTGTAGGGACAATTCGGACACAGTTATTACCTACAAAATAGGATTACTAGAGGAATTATTTAAAAATCAAAGAATACTAGTCATCTACTACATCGTAATTTAGAACTTCACAGAGATACTTTGTCACAACAACGCCAGACAAGTTAGGTTGGATAAACCAAGTTGCAGTTCAGTCGTGTGTATTTCCGCATTCCCTTACAACATTAAGGTGGTACGAAAAATTGTTTAAAGATCAAATGTAATTGTTACAAGATTATTTTCTCTTGAACTTAATGTAAGTTTACCTTTATGTAGACAAATATTAGTTGCCGATAAAAACAAAGTTACGTAACTGTTAGGATATTCATCCAGTATCCTAAGAGAATTATTGATCAATTCCTATTGGTTAATTCCTACTGGTCAATTTTATGGTCGTCCTAGATATCAATTTCATGTACTCCAATGTTGTATCTTATTGGTCGTCTTAATTGTCAATGTCACAGACCTCGATGCTGTTTCCTATTCGACCTAAATGTATAAATACTCATTATCTGTAACGTTTTATGACCCGGACCCGGACCCCTAGTCCGGGATCCTGATTCTATTCTGGACTCGGACCTCGTAATTTCTAGATGCTTGTGGAATACAGGTTCTACTTCATATCAAGTCTTCTTATTTTATTGGATGGGGGGTTGGGACACTTGGATTTGAGTAGCGTGTCGTGTCTCCGGATCCTTTATCCTCGCTCTCGTTTTCCGACTAAGGTAATCTCGTAATAGTTCAAGCATATTAAAAATGACCTGTTTACGTTCATGCGTAACAGTTACACAAAGAATTTTATTTGATAATAAATTGTTTAACTTACTTGAAGTGAAACTTCAACTGCTCCTAAATAATTCCGACTTTTTAAATAATTATAAGCCAATTTATAACCTATATAATTAAAATAAACAGTAGTAAAAATACAACATTGTATGTTTTATACTGATCTAACTGGAATTTCAAAGCATAAAAATAAATAACGAAATATTCTTTATATGTAACTTAATTGTTAGACAGAAACTAAACAACGTAATTAACTGATGAATGAAATCATACTCTGTCATTATGACAAAGTAAATGTGTTGTGGAAGTAATAAATATGATGGATACTACCAATAAACAACAGTCTCATTTTCTGAACAGTGAACACTCACAACGAATTGGAATTAAAAGATTTTTTAATTGAATTTCTCTTGTTTTTGCATGACACTCCTGAGAAATGAGGACTTCGATATAAGGACGATGTTAGGATATTCATCAAATATCCTGAAGAAACTATTTTAAGTCTAATTCTATTAGTCAATTCATATTGGTCAATATTTAAGGTCTTCCTAAACTATCAAGTTCACATACTTTTAAATGTTCTTTCCTATTGGTTAGTATTCACGGTCGACCTAACTATATAGATCTCCATTGTAAAGATTTAGGCTCCTCTTCTTCTTCTGTACAAAACCTCTTATTTGCTGAGTGCTTGTAGAATACACTTTCATATACTTTCTATGCCATATCAAGACTTTTGATATCGTTAGCAGGGGCTTGGGATGCTCGGATTGGAGTAGCCTATCGTGTCAATGGACCACTCATCTTAGCTCTCGTTTACCGACTAAGGTGAACTCGTAATAGCTTCAAGCATATCATTTGATGAGCATAACAGACGGAACAGCATTTCAGTGCTTCCAGGTTTTGTTGCTGCTTTGAACTAGTTAGCTAGGTCGGCTGAACATTTGTAATCGCGAATAACAACAGAGGGAAATTGCAAACTTTCATGGATATATCAGTTGATTTGTTTAATTTATCTGAATTTTCATCTTATTTACAACAATGATACTGATATGGGAATGGCAACATTCATTGCACAAGTAGTGTAACTCATAAATATCATGCAGTTACATGAAGTTGAACATTTATAGTATAACAATATAAATCAAATAAATGAACCGTTTTTTCGTCATCTTCCCTAAAATATAGTATCCATTTCACATTCATCAAGTCACAAGCTTAGTTTTTATTCACTTCAGCAGTAGAAAAAAGCACCAATATATGCAAATATAGTGAAAGATATTCAGAAAGATATAGGCGCAAGCTCATTAAAATACACACAAACAAACAAACATAAGCACTCAATATGTAGTATTTCCAAGTCACTCATACAAGCACGACCGCAAAGTTGTTTTCCTTGCTAATAAATGTTGATTTTACAAAAAGAACTTTAAAACGAAGTAAACGAAATCCTTAAATATACATGAATGTCAAATGGTCTTTATAAGTAAACGAGGCTAATGCAGTCCTATGGGATTTGAAACGATGCTTGGAATTTTCGAAAGAAAATAATCTGATAAGGTTTTATTTCCATGAATATGTTTCTAAAAAACAAGTTAATTAGTGAATTATTATTCAAAGTAATTAATTATTAATAATTGAGTAAAATAATCCATCCGATGGTTATATACTTTTTTCAGGTGATAGAACAAAGGTATTCAAAGTATTTTTTTACTTATGTAGAATCTGGTTCAACAAAACTGAATATTACTTACTACGGTTAATTCATTTCTTACAAAACCTACAATGTTATTAATCAAATTATTACTTCCTGGAAGGTGCATTCACATTATTATATACTGAAATCATAAGATTAGTCCGTACAGAACTGTTATACATGCCATCAAACGTTACTGTAGTATGGTTCATATAGTATTGGCTTTTTTAATTAACCAGGTATTGAATTTGGCAGCTCTCTACTAAGTTCCTTAAGGCTTTTGAGGTAATATATGGTCTAGTTTGTAACTAGTATTGTATTACCACAAGTTATTTAAAATCGAATACCAAGTTTTTCAATGCGCTCAGTCGTAACGAAGAGATTTATCATTCACTTTAGGAAATAAAATTAACATTAAACGAAGATAAACGGAACGTTTTATTCCTTGTGTTTATGAATTTCTTTTGTTTAATGCACTTGATATTTCCTACAGTAAATCAGCTTGTCTTTAATGCTCATCAAATTAAAATATATGTGCTGTTAATTCAACCAAGTGTTAAATCAATAAAACATTCTAAATTATTAATATGAATTGTTGGGAATGCTAGATCCCCAGGAATAGCTTGGTAATCCTTTTATTTTGTATTTTATTTTTGGGTCAAAACGCCTTTTATTACATACAGTTTGTGTTTCGCGCATGGAAGGACCTTAAATTTCATTGGTTGGTTTTCTCTTGTAGTACGCTATTTCGTAACTCTTTTCGCACTGCATATATTACGCTTCAATTGAACTCTTGTTAATTTGTTCGTTCAGGGATGCTTGTAAATTATACAATCTTCCTGCTAACCTTGGACTTCTCGCTTCATCTAGTTGGGCTGGGGCGTAGAGATTAGATAAACTGTTCTGTTGTTGTGTGACTGGTTTACGTTCCCTTCGCTGATAGCTAGTGATATCTTAATTAGAGCAAGTAAGGCAATAATGTTCACTGTTTAAAAGGGTGTTCGACTGGAATCAGCTTCCGTTAAAAACAGCACATTTTTTGATTATGTAATTAGAATATCTCTTACCGACAACTGGGTTTCGATGATTTGAATTATTCCAAACATGTTCATAATACTTTGCAGCTTCAGCGAAATTTTGTTCTTTTTCCATGATTAAACCGAAATACTCAGAAGCTTTAGCGCTTGACTAAAATTAAAATTTAGAAACATATAAAACAACAGCGAAATAATTTCTTGACAAAATCTTTGAGTTCATTTTAAGTATTAAAAATGAAAAAAAGACTAAAGTTGTTATATTTTAACGGTTCACCATTGCATCGTTTGTTTGTAAAAAACGCTCTAAGTTTGTAGTGTTTATCTCCATCATACATTTTTGACCCTGATCTATCGTCCCGCTGACTGTGTACTTTATTAGGTTGATTTTCTGAGTATTACTTTGAACTTACTTGAGAATGATCAGAAAATTAGAACAGCAGTCATCAGAGTTAGTGTATACTGTTGAACCCACAAGGCACAGGAGTCAAGCACACCAGAGTGTAAGTTGATGGGCAATATGTGATGAACATGTCTGCGTATTTTATGAGTATCAATCAATATGTGGATGAAGTTATTGATTGTTCATGTTTACAGCTAAATGGAGAAGAGGTGAAGAATTCAGAAGCAGACATACTCTCAGTCATACTGACATAAATGTATACAAAATGGATCAAATAAAAGTGTAATAGATTGTTGTTTTATGTAGTCAAAATTTATTGAGAAGGCTAAGTATAAGTTTAATGTAAATTTAAATCTTGGTGTGAGTTCGGTATGACTGACGGCTAATGTTTAGTGTGACAAGGAAACAGCTCAGTATAGTACAACCATTTAGTTTCATCGCTTAAATACCCAGCTGTATCCATACATTTCTAGTTACTTCATTCTTTGATGATAATAATCTCATTTTGAAGACCACAGAAACGATATCATTTCCATGTTTTTTTTCTGATGAAAAGTATATTTTATTTACTATTTTATAGAATTCACAATGATATTATATCACCATAAAATTTTTACATATTTTCACTGATTGTAAATCTGTTATATTTATTTTAGGTACAAGTTTACTGATTATCAACAGGTATGGGCGTCTAACATATGGTTAAATAACTGAAAAATGAGAATTAAAGTAGACAGTGTAGAAATGGAGACACGAGTAAGTACTTTTGTACTATTCGGATGTTAAGAATTTAAGTAGATTAATTTCACTGAAGATGAAAAAGTGCTTTTTATGTGTTTGTTGATAGAAAACAGAATATTTTGATAGGTGGTTGCTTGAATGAAAATACTATGTAAATAACTTACATTCTTTTAACTTAACACATGTGAAAAATCTGAAAAGCTTCAAACGAGTTTCCGCATAATTCATTCACTGATGTGAGTGAGCTTTCTTGTGTTCTAAACGATTTGCTCCCAATACTTACAGTGATTAGAACGATATCACTGATAAGCCTAAGTTGAACAGTATACTCTGGGATACCGATTCATGGGTCTAGATGATAAGCGTTTGCACGTGAGATCGAAGGTATTGGGTTTGATTCTGCATGCGGATTCATTGTTGTGCTCTCCAAGGAGTCCCATACTAGAAAGAAATAGCTGTCTAGTGCTTACAGGTTTTCAATGGTGATCGAACATTGATAGATTTATGAATACTATGAAACCCAATAATCTCGACTATCATATACTGATATCAATATCAGTTCAAAAAATTATCATTTTTTCGATCAGTACAGAGTTATGCTAGTTCATGATAGCTATTCGTAAATTAACCCCCCCTCCTCTTATGTGTGACACAGTTTGTTATAACCTTGAATTCACCCTGATAATCTTTAAGCTATTTTATGGCCTAATGTGACAATTTCCTACCCTTACCTATTTTCTCTCTCCTTTATTCACTATTATCACCCTACGCTTATTTGAACTTTTATTTAATTGACCTTTTATTCATCTTCATATGTGTGTGACCAGATTGTTCGGAATGTATAGGACAAATGCATCACATTTTTCAGATCAATTACGTTTTCTGATTATACTATCAAAATTTATAAAAGGGGACTAATTGTTTGACCGAAAATTCATCAAAACGTTTATTTCTCAAAGTAAGTGAAATTCGAAGTTCTTTTGATAAGATGGTTAGTTACTGGGCAAAAATTTAAACTTATACTCTTTAGGTCGATGATCATAAGGAAATTAATTCGTCTGGGGTGTTTACAAATGGACGGAGTTTATATGGTTCTGTTCATGGTATTACTGATAACAAACATCATTATGGGCAAACCAGAGATTTCTAGTTTCAAAATAAAGAATGATTAATACAAGGCACATATTTTTTGTCAGAGTTATATTTATTTTATGTGGTAACGGTTTAAAAAATGAAGCACTGAGGTTTTTATATTAATTTCTAATACTTACCAACTTCCTACAGTGGTGAGAATTCATTTCATGCAGTTAACACGAAGTAATGTCAGTAAACTTATTTTGATTGGATTTATTGTTTTACGATGAACACAACGTATCAAAAGCTTGACTAATATGATGAAACGATAACACTCTGATAAAAATTTGGACATAAATTCACAGATGAAGATATTGATGAAAATAACATGCGCTCCTAACAGATAATTAATAACAAGTTGATGAATAATTCCTTTCATGATCATGATATCATATGTTTTTCATAACCTATAATAATTTCATCAAAATAAACGTTTGTAGTTTTTTTAGGGTTTCGGAGAACCTTGAGTTTCATTGACGACACTCGGGTACGAGGCTCGTGAGTGCGCACTACTGATGAGTCCCGTTTTTGGACGAAACTGCCATCCAATGTTTTTAGGTTTCTAATAGTGGCCCAAAACTGATTGATTCAAAACTTTAATGATATTTTAAAAAAAAACGTGTTCATAATATGTCGTTTGCTTCATTTTACTCAATTTATTAGGACAAAAAGAGTGGCACAACGTTTTAAAAAGATGATACAAATCAAGATGAACCAGATAATCAAAGTTGTGCAACGCTATTATTGTAATGTTTTTAAACCGCAGTCAATATTAACTCGTTTACCGTCTGGCTGCAGATGCAGCTGTAATTATTCAGAGGAGGAAAGGGAGCTGTTAAGATTATGAATATTTATTATCACTTATAAGTTAATGATCACAATGAAATAGTCTGCACAACTAAACATATTAGGTAAACGCACAACTGATAATAAGAATATAGGTGTATTAATAATGATAAGAATAATAAAAGTTCTAGTTCAGTAAACGAATTTGATCAACTTGGATAAATAGACTTTGAAGTGTGTGTAAATAATCAGATAGTGAAGAATAAAAACGGAAGAGGTGAATATTAACAAACAAGTACAGGATGTGAAAAGATTAGCGCAATCATCCGAACACTCATTCACTTCACGAAAGCTAGAATAAATCACTCAAGGGTGAACAGTATCAAATTTTACAGCTTAAGGTCATTTTGAGATGTGAACACTGTATGTTATGTTAAACAGTATAACAAAATGATCGATTATCGAAATCTTTTAGTTACAATAATTCACTTACCTTATTATATTTGAGACATTTTTTTAACAATTCTTGACAAAGTTCGAGTTTACCATTTTGTATATACATATCGACCAAAAGTAACCATGATTTTTCTAATTCTTCAGCATCCTAATAAAGTATGGAGAATTAAAAATAAAGATGTTTAAAAAATTCATTAGTAATAGCGGTAATACTGAAAACTGCTGAATAGTATAACCAACAATAACAACATCGCTGAGTAATTAACAATGAATAGCATAAACCGTTCTTGAGTCTTTTTTTAAAGTATTTAGAAATTTCGGCTATTCAAAAACTCAAAGTAGCTTAATGTACACATTCCCTAAAAATCTGTAATTCACTTTGAGGCTTACAGAAACATGAGAATTTAATTTGCTTTCTCTCCATCGTTTTGCATTATCAATCACTAATTTAATTTGATTGTCATGCTTTTGTTGTGAAAATTGCTAAGTATCATTGAAATCATGAATCCATCACTGTAAGAACACTACTAGAACCCTGGAAGCAGTGGGCGGCCGTTTCGTCCTAGTATCGGGACTCATCAGTGGTGCGCTCTCACGATCCCCGACCGTGAGAATCGAACCCAGGACTTTTAGTTTCGCGCCTGAACGATTAACCTATAAAGCACTTCACTAGTTTCCATATCTCATCTCAGTCAATTCACAATATTGTGTGAGTACACTTTTTCCATCATTTGTGAAAGATATCACACCTGAATTAGTAAGGTCGTAGATGTGCACTGATAGTAAGTCACATAATGGGATGAAACAAGTGTTCACTGCTTCCTAATTTACACCAAAAGTCTAGCTAAGACCAACTAGCGATTTAAACTATAGATCTTATTTATTTCATTTTAAATTTTACTCCAGTTAATAAAACTTTGATCTAAATGATAATAATGGTTTGAAGGATTGTATTTAATATAAGACTACCAAATTATCCATCCTACAAGATTCAGAGCATAAAATAATCATACTCTTATTTATTTCATTAAATAATAATCTAGTCTTAGTGATGTTCTCCTGCATATATAACAGTGTCACAAAGTATCATCCTCACTGTTGGACAAGTATTTCTAAGTTTGAGAAACTGCCAATTATAAATAAATTATGCTATTACTTGTGTTTAAGTTGCTTATGATAAGTAAAGCCTTTGAATCGAATTCAATAGTAATGATGTATAAAGAAAAAACGCTTCAAAGGAAAATTTTTTACGTCAATGGAAAAACAATACATGACTTGATCAGTTAACAGTATACATGTTGACTAACGCCTAGCTTAAATGGTGGTTACAAACAAGTTATGCAAAAAATATTATGGGTAAGATGCTACAAAACTGTTGACTAAAGAAACAGATATTTTTTAAAATTTAGTTCAAAATGAAACTGAATATGGAACAGTTTATGTAAATGATATTTCAAAATAATAATGTAGACTTAATGAATAAAGAATTTGTGCTTCAACTAGTAGGTTACAGAGTGACAACCAGGTGATATAATCAACTCTAATACATATAGAAAACGTGTGGTGCGAAATTGAGTACATGAACCTATACTAGGAAAATGAATTACTTTAGTAAACGTATTATCGATAGATAAAAATAGCAAACCACTTAGAGAATTGTACGGTAGTAGATAAATTCCATTCTTACAGTTGACAGGTCACTAACTTATAAACATCAACTTGATGAAAAGCGGTTGAGGTAAAAACCTATTTATCGTATACATGTGCAGACCAGAAAACCGTACACATTATGAACTTCTTCAGCGTTTGCTTGCTGACTAGCAATAGATAATAATAATGAGTTAATTCAATTAGTAAACATCAAAGATCCAGCTCACTGGAAAATGTGGCACACATACCCCACAATTATATGTTTCAAATATAATGATGGGCTGAATACATATTTCGGCAGCTTTTGAAGTATTTTGGAAATGACGTTTTACATCGCTAACTAATTTTAGTTGGGAAACGACAGGAGACTAAGAATGATTGAATGGCTAATTGCGTCCAGGACATTCAGGCCTCGGGACGAGTGCCCAATCTATAGGTCATTAATTTGGCTTCTAAAGTTTTATATGAATAGCTTTCGTCGGTTCACATTGAAAAACCACCATAATACTCTGTAGTATATATTCAAATATCGGTATTCAGGATACTCTTTGTAAACGTACAGTATTCTGAGTATATTTCAAAAAGCATTACCGTTTAATTACTAAACGATAAGTCGAATACACTGAGATGGAATTCAATCCATTCACTAGGTTGGTATAAACCAACATTGTTCCCTATAACAATCTGATAACGTCATCGAATTACACACAACTGTATCAATGAGTTTCAGAGAGATGAACATTTTGGATACCCAAGAAATGCCATTCCCCCGACCGGGGGTCGTGGATGCGCATTGTTAAAGAGTCCCATACTAGAATGCAATGGCCGGTTAAAGTTTCCGGGTTTCTAATGGTGGTCTAGCAATAACGGGTTCGCGATCGCAATGTAAAACAAGTAAAATAATTGTTTTTCAGGAACGTAAGACTTTGAAACAATCGTGTTTACAAAGAATTTTGAGAAACTTCAATCAATAGTTTAAAATTTGGGATTCTATCCATTGCGATCATTACAGAAGTCAAATTGCTAGTTGTTCATGTTCATTTTATGGAAGTTATTAAATCATCATTCCTTGTTATCTGATATTTCAATTAATTGATTAAATATACATAGTTTTAGCATCGATATTATCTTGTATTAGTTTCCTTTTTAGCATGAAAATAAAGCCTATCTTAATTTCAAGTCAATTTTCAGCATAACAGTGAAACTGGGAAAAAAAACTGACAACAACTGAAAATGCATTATTCACAATGAATTCTGCTTGTTTTCTCGAATGACAAGAGTTATAGCATCCGTGGGCAGAGTTCAAGTGAACAGTTTATTTAAATACTTTAGTTTCATTCACTTAACATCGATGATCGTCTAACCCACACTACAATCAAAATAAGAATAGTTCTTAAAAAGTTTGTATGAATGGAATGTAATAATAATAATAATAATAGTAATAATAATATTATTATTATTATTACTATTACATTGGATTATCTTCTTTTCGTACTAAATACGATAGAATATAAAAGTTGGATAGAAATAAACAACAAGAAGAACTATTTTCACCGTGAAAAGTTTATATATTTGTATAAGTATTTCGATATATTTTATAGCAAATTTTATGTGCAACCTTTTTTCATTTTAAAATATGTAAACAACATTGTGTGTGTAAACAAAATAAATATATAGCCGATTGCTTCATTGGAATTTTTCTATTCACTCTAAACAATACAACGTTCGACATTTGTGCAATATGTTCCATTCAAGTAGTTATTTATTTATTGGATATAAATTTATGTTTCAGCAAGTGTAGGAATCATAGAAAGTTTCATTTTAACAAGTAAAAAAAATTTACATTACTATAAATCCTCTTATACATACAAATGAATTCATAATGCAGAAAATGTTGAATCTTATTTACAACTAAAGTTAATGCTTCAATAGTGATTAAATATATCAAAGAGAAAAAATTCTGTGAAATTGTTCAAACGTAATAGAATACAGATTATGAAAGCTAGAAATCCTCACAAATTATCATCAATTGAAGAGAGAATGGACAGATATTCCATTCTATCTCAGGTCAATTTAGCAAGTTGCATCCACTAGCTTCACAAGTGATAGAACATACTATCGGATTTCATGATCAGTACGATCCAAAAATACACACTAGAAGTGTTACGCATGATGTTTCAAGCAAATCCGGTCGGGTAGAATGATGATACAATGAACTATCATCAAAACTCGTTCACTCGTCACAGAGTGATTTTAAATCTAAAAGTAGCAGTTATATGTAAATCAAATGACTATAGCCATCAATTTAATATTTATTTATTGATTTGAAATATTAGATGTGTGTCGTGGAACCAGGTGATTGTTTTACATGCATTTAAGAGAACTGGCTATAACTTGTGATGAATATGTAATTCAAGATTATATGGCCAATCAGGGTTTGATGATGACAAACAAAATTGATCAGTATCTTGTTTCTTGTAGTATTTTACAAGAGTACGATTGAACAGCCATGTTAGTAATGACATTTTATCTATATTCAATAGTGATTTCAGAGTATATCACATCTCAGAAATCTACCAAGTTGTACAAGGCACAATAGTTTTTTTTAAAATACATAGGTTGCAACCAAATTCAATTCTGAGTGCATTGTGTCCTACTGTTACGTTGAAAACAAATGGCATGAAGTCAAGTAACGAAGGATGTATTCGTTTAAAGGGTTATAGGTAAATAGTGTAACAAAGACATGTAGCCATCCTAAACCTATGTTTTTAGGCAACGTTTCCTCTCTCCACAGTACCCTTAACCACAATCAGGAAAAATAGTTTCTTATTAATAATAACCATAGGTGATCAGCACTTCTTCAAATCAAAAAGCTGTTTTCCCGTTTACGATTGAAATTTAAAAATGATTTCATTACCATTTATAACTAGATTTATTGTTCAATGTCTTTTTAAAACTTCATCATCAGTCGAAACATGATCCTATAAATTTATCGTTTGGTGAAATGATTATTAGCTCAATGATTGCGTACTGTTTTTTTATCTTTTATTCTAAGTTATTCAAAGTATTTTCTTTTTAAAGTTAATAAAACTATTAAAGCAAAGATAAACTATTGATCATTACAAATTCAATGACCACGAACAAATATTCAAAACGAATCAAAATAATCAATTAGAGAATGGAAATTTTACTTGAAAATTCCAAGGTACTTTAGCCAATCGCTTTAATTGATTTCTGGCTTTTTGACTTTGTTTTAATTGGATATGACAAACGGCTGCACCGTAAATCGGTGCCACACTGTCCGGCTACAAAAGAATCCATAAATAAGAAATACATGTTCTGGAACGAACAACAAATTTTAATTCTTCAAGAATGTTTACCAATATAAAGGTACATGATTTAAATGTCCCACGATTAAACTGATTTAAAACGTTTTCATTGATTTCGAACTCGTAGAATTAGTTATTTGGATAAGTCAATGAATATATTATATTCTGCAAGACGTAACATTGAAATTTCAATCATCAATGTGCCTAACTGTAATAACATGAACTCCATAAAATAACTAATTTAGTTATTGGTTAAGGACAACAAACCAAAATCCCTTATTACATTTAAACAATTGAGATTTATAGTAGTTAAAAATAACTGTTAAACAAATCTGTGAGCAAAATTATTAGGCATTATTTATTTCAACTTCGAGCGTTGAATCGAGACTGAATTTATTGATAATGACATTGGCGTAATTTGATTTTTCCACTACATTTCTTATGGAGTACTCTTGAAAATTCACCCATTTTAGCATTTCATTTCTATACTTTGGAAATTTTCGCTTTTTCTTAAGACAACGCTTTCCCACAAATACCTGTTTTTCTTTTTTTTTCTCTAAATTTAAGGTTTAGTCAAGTAATTAATCACTTAAGTCACTTAACAGGCCCCCCACTAATGTTTGATTAACTGCTGTAAAATCTGTATCGACTACGTTAAGGTCTTTTCTTAAAAAGAATCAAAATATTTTAATTGTAAACAGATAACTGATATTCCTCTAATGCTTTTTTGGAATAAAAATCACTGATATAATAGTCACAAATTAAAACTATGCTTGAAACTGAACTGTTACAACAAATATAAAGTTGACATTTGTGCACACGAACAACTTGGTAAATACTTTCCTACCTTAATGAAAACCTATAGAAATATGAGATTTAATTACAGATTTTGTTTTATGATTGTTAGTATAATAAAGAAAAAGCTGCCATACACAGAATTCTCTGTTAAGAATACTAAACATCAGAATTTGGACATTTAAGATATAGATGAGTTTTAACAAATATTGTTGAGATCATGTACAATAGGATTCTTCTGATTACTTCTATTTTTCTGGCATATCATTGCTTGAATCAGACACTGGCTAGTTTTACAACAAGTTGTTTTCACATTGTTTTTATTTTCACAATCTTGGAGTTCTACAACTAGTACATACAATAAATTCTGCAGCAGTAAGTCTAAACCAAGGACAGATTTTAGATAGAAAATCATTTAAAAACCAGATATCATTAGACGGCTGTTTCGTCCTTGTATGGAGCATTTCAACAGAGCTCAGTCATAATCTAATAGCAGTTCAAACGCAAGAGTTTCAGACCTGACTGTGTCCCTTCATTCATTTAAACAGCATCCATCTAGTTATTGAGATGTCTAACTTTGATCGATTCATAATAGTGAAGAACCACATTCCATTGCTGTTGACCAGTAACTGCATCACATCAATGGTAGGTTTAAATTAGTCACCAGTGAACAACTTATTATTGTTAATATAAGATATTTGTGAATTTGCTAGCGAAATGCAATCAGTGAATCGAATTATCGTTTTGTGGATTTTACAGTTATATTGTCTGATTGCAATATGAATAAGGAGAACAGTCCACAAAATAATGTAAAGTAATATGAAAAACCCAAAATTGCAAAGCAATCAAAACAATACAGTAAATCCATTCAGAGTATATAGGAAATAATAAGAGAATTATTTTTATAAAAAGAAAAACACATAAAGAGTCAAATGTCATGTAAAAACATGACGTGAATGTAACTTATTATACACTTTAATTTATCACTTCTCTATTCAAAATAACTTACATCTTCATGTGACATTTCAGCGAAAATTTCTAAAGCAGATTCTAATCGTGCCTTGGATTCTGTTGTCAACAGTAGAAGGGTTGAAATAAAACGATATCGTCTTTTGAATTTAATCACTTTCAATTCCTGTATAGATAAAAAACAGCAAGAAAACACAATGGAAAAGAAATTAATGTTACTGGAAATTGTGGCTTGAAATTGAAACTGATAAATATTATTATTATTATTATTATTATTATTATTATTATTATGTTTTAGATGGAAGTAAACGACAGCTTTAAAAGTTCATATTCGATTATGTCTGTGGCAAAGAGTTAATATCCCGATATTAAATAGCATTATTAATTATTTGTCACTATTTCATAAATACTCTACTTACATATTTTGAATTGGTGTTACATTTTCTTGGTTATCACAAATCCTTATCTTGGTTTACTAATTAACAATGCAGAAACATTAGCGTTAATCATGCCACTACAATACCGCTCATCACAAGGTTTATTGTTCTATCAGTTAGGATCAACGTAAAGCCTGGTACAATTGTGGGTTTGCTGAAGTTGCCGATGAGTAGTAATGAATTAGCAATGATAATAAAGAAGAATGGACATTGAGAAGATGCGAATGAAAGGAAACTATGATTCTAAAGGTTGATAAATGTTAAGAATCAATACGTCTGTGCCGTTGCCGAAATTCTAAGTTATACCACTAAACGTTTCTAACCACTGGTGGGGCTTATATCATGAATACGTGCTAGGTGATTTATACTTGATAACACGGCTTAATTCAGTCACTTAATGACGCCTGGATTTAGTAGCTCCTCATTTTTGTGAATCTAAAATTACTCGACCAAGCATTGACCATCATGGTAAGCAGGATTTTGAAACAAAATAGACTGCTCAATCATTCTGATAACAGTCAAAAGCGAATATAAAAATCAGCCGCTGATGGGAGTTTTTGATGTGACATGCTTCATTGTTACCTATCATTCCAATTACAGGGAAACATCTAACATTGTCAATAGACAAGCATAGTAATGAGAGGTTTTAAAATGAATATAAGAACCAGTGATGTTTGAAATAGATGGAGTTCCAAACGAGAAGTTTATAGTATTAAATGTTTAGTGATCCAAAAGTTTATTCATCAGAGTAACTGGGATTTATCAGCTATGATTAATTGTGGGCATGTTTCGTTCTCACAGCTGAATGTTTTGGTTGTGGATCTTTCATTTTTCTTCTGAACAAAATCATAGGCACATAATTCAGCTATGATTTATCTTTAATTTTCAGCTGTAACCATTGACGAAAAATATTTACTCATTGTTAAAACAATAGTCAATAATTTTGTAAGTATAGTGACAAATTGTCTGAATAATATTAGATTTACAATTTCAGACCAATCGTTAAACTTTTTTCATTTCATACTTCTCATCTCCTTCAACTTAATACAACATAGTTTAATTCATTATCCGTGGTAAGTATTTAAGATTATCACTACAAATATTATAATAACGAGTGGTTCGAAATTAAGCAATCAACTTTTCTTACCTTCAATAATTGTTCAGCTGTTTCACAACCAATACTGAAGTTTTTGGTTAACTCTTCGTCATAATTAAAATCATTTGTATTATTTGAGTTTTTATTAAGGTTGTTCGATAGTGAAATCGGTTCAGTGCCTAGTAATTGATTATCTGGATTAATGCATATTTCAACCATTCGATAGATTGCCATCTCTGCATAATCAACATCTTTTCGACATCGATTGAAATAATTCAAAGCTACAGATGACTCGTTTGTGTAACTAGATCAGAATAATAAGTTGGACCAAAAATATAAAACTATGAATTATAAATTACTTTAACAAAAATGTGATGCTTGGCAAAAAGTTGCAATGATTTTTGTTAAACTATAAGCAAGTATTAAAAATGAAAAGTCAACCCTAATTTAGTGATGTCTAATTATTTTACAAATTTTTACTTGAAACAATAATAAGTAATGTCTTTAATACTAATATAAAAAAGTTCGTCTTACTGACCTATGAAAACTTCTAGTTTTACATCTCTAAAGTTAGATCACGATCTCGTTATAAAGATGATTTTCCAACGATTATCATGAAATATAAATCGTTAATATATTTTGCAATAGACACACACTGGTAATTAATGAGGAAGAAAAACTTAACTGAATATTACGTTCTGACCTAAGTCGAAGACTACACTGCATGATATAATAAGCCACCAAAAAAAACATTTAAAAACTTAACTGCTCCAAGTCATAATATGTAGCTGTTTTAGATTTTCATATTTAATAACAAGTCATACGAAGTTAATCACTAAGAATCTCAAACAAAGATTTCTAAAAATTTATTAGGTTTTACGTTTTAAAAGTAAATTGTCTATTGAGCACACCAAAGTCGATAGAATTATTTTTAAATCATGCCGCTTACGAACTCCAACACACATGGTTTTAAACACTTCAACCGTCAAAGATAACGCAGAAAGAGACCGTGCACAGATAATCGAACGGCTGTAAATTATATATATATATATAATGATTTTGAATAATTATTTTTAGTGAATGCCTAAAATAGCACCAAATAACAATAATAATGTGATTACTCAATATTTCGTTTGATACAGTAAAATTGTAGTGTTCAGTTACAATCATTTCCTTTAAAAGTCAGTTTAATGAAATTTCTGATTATGTCATATTTTGATATCTGTATCTATCGATCACTCATAGTTTACGAATTCTTCATTGATCCGAAACCTGTAATTAAATTGACCATGCCAAAGCGAAGCAAGGGCAGAATTTCGAAATACACATTATGGAAATCAGTCAACTGCATCACGAAGCAAGCCCTAACTTGGAACCTTCAGAGCAGAAGGGAAGGATTTAGACGAAGGAACAAATTGCAGCGAAAATTGGAGAGAGAAGTCGAAAGAATAAACAGCAACAGGGTATAACGGGAAAAGAGAACTCAGAACAGAGTTGAATGGAGAGTGGTGGTCTGCAGCTTAAACTTCGTTAGGGGTAACTGGCGTAAGTAAGTATGTAAGTTAGTATTTTATTCATTTCAAAGACGGTGAAGTAATCCTTGCAATTAATTTTATAGTCTGTGAAGATCAAATCAATCTTTAATAGTATGTTACACAAAGGTATTGAAGAGACTAGTGAAATAAAAGAATCCCATTTGCCACTCACAATTACAGCGTGTGATTCATATCATTAACTGCAATACATTTACCATGGAAATGAGAATCCTAGTTACTTTTAAAACTTACTTGACATATAATACACAATTTTTAATAAATTAAAAATATTTTTCACAGTTTATTTTGCTTACAAATGATAAAGTCCACGACAGTAGTTCAAACCACATGAAATTTCAGCTTGAGGATCAAGTGATTTAGCTTTATCTAAATACTCTGGGATACCTGACAATAGACCGCATCTCCTATATGTATCAATCAAACTTGACAGAGCTTCATAATTACCTAAATCAATAATAAGGTAAATAAACAGTAATATAATAATATTTCAAATACATGAATTTTAGTAGAATAGATGCACGATATTTTGTATTCCGAAATATTATACTACTATTTTATTCAAAGTAATCTTTACCGCCTAGATGGGAAGCCATGTATGTGTGAATGCTTGATGTGTGTGATAATCGTAAAGTTAATGACGAGAAGAGTTGATTTACATGCTAATGAACTCTCATCATTAGTCATATCAAAATATACATTCATGTGTAAATAAAGTTATATTAACAAATACATATACAAGATAGAATTATTGTGAGTAACAAACTTGAGAATCCCGATAAATAATTTATAAAATGATTGGTGATATACTTTTATTTTTATCTCAAAATCAACTACTAGGGTCATGTTTTAAAAGTGCAAATTACTGAGCAGTGAATAGTTTATCAGCTTACTAATATACTAACGAATCTTCACTAAAACACAATGAAACTTTACACGAATCTGTTACGTTGGTAATGTTCAGTTGCCTAACAAGAAGCGTCATCGCATCATTGTGAATTTAAGCATGTACATATTACTGATTAGTCAACTATATCACTTGGTTGCGCTGCTAATTCTATTTAAAGTTGGAACAATAAAAAAATGTTAAACTTTGAAAATGCAAACACTACTGAATATTTGATATTTTAGCAAAACTCCTTTCGTCACAGAGAAATTCGATTCAGTTTTTCTTTATAGAACGTCATAATATCAATCGGCATAAGAGAGTTGTGTAAAGTTTTAGGATTTGAAAAATTTTCTAGTTCACTTTGATCGATTTTAACAACAATCATCTGCATGGACTATTACAACTTACATGGATTTTTATTCAAAACATATTCTAAGTGTTTACTTGCTGTTTCAAAATCACCTTTGACTATCATCAGTCTAGACATAAATATTGCAGCCAATGGTATATTGGACATATAAGTTGATAGAAAAATTGAATCATTAATCTTATTGTTTATCTGTGCTTGTTTTAATGACACTGAAGTATTATTTTTCACTGAATTCAAATCACTGCTGACATTTTTCATTAGATATTCATTAGTGAAAATCATCTCAATTTCTTCCTTTAAAAAAAATTGTTAAGACAAAAAAGAAAAATGCACTATACATTTGAATAAGATTAATGGTTAATTAATTCACGAACAATAATTACACTAACAGCAACAACAGAAATCGAATTTGAATAACATTTTTCTTTCTAAAAATAAAAGATATTTTCAGATTTATTCAGTGTTTTTTTTTCTTATGTTAGAATTGTAAAGGTCGAATAGTTTCTTTTTATGTTCAACGTAACACTCTAACAATGCTTCATCATGATTAGCCATTACAAAAGACTGTTCTTTTCAAAAACAACAACAACAACAACTAAAAACCAAAAAAAGCAATTGATTACGTATACTAGTAGAACTACTGACCAACTCACATTGTCTATGTCTGCCAGACAATTATTTGGCTAGCAATGGACTTCAATTTAGTTAGACAGAGAATGGTGATAGTTCAGTGAAGAATGGTGAATAGTGTTTCCCTGAAACTATTTTCAATTTGTTTAACTTAATTTGGCTGACAAGAATGACAAGTTAAGAAGCCATTATGACAAGTCTTATTTTATTTATGTATATTCAGATGGTGTGACTATATTTAAAATTGTGTAGTAAAGTCTATAATTGCATAAAATCCTATCGGATTCAAGTTAAACAGTAGAGAAAAAACAGAGCGGTATTTTTTTCACGTTCGCCTACATAAAGAATGAAATATTCTGGTAATCTTTAAGGAATGAGTGATGGTGCTAATGATATGATTTGATAGAATGGATACTTCATAATGAAGTGTCTCACCAAGATCGATAGCAAAGTTTTCTGAGTAACATAAATCAGTTCTTGGTTATGGACTTTGATATTCATTTCAAACAATTCTAATCCTGTTAAAGCAACAAAATAAAGTTTGATATTTTGAATAAAAGAAACGACACGTACTAATGGTAGATTAAGGAAAATCGAAAGAAACATTATTTAATGCCAATGTCTAAGGGTGATAATGATTGATGTAAACGAACAAAAAACTTCTATAAAAAAACTATACAATGAGTTCATTGATCTGACATTGTATAAACACAATCCTATATGTTACTTTGAATGCGATCAGTGCTGTAGGTATAAACAATATAGCAATTGCAATGACGAGATTTGAAAACAGAGACGTATCATAGTTTTATTCAAAATAGGTTAGGGGACACTAAGTAAGCCATAACCCCCTAGGAAAGAATCGCATAACACTACATACAGTTTATTGTATTACAAAGTTGGGATAAAGCGGTGAGTAATGCAGTGTGTAACAGGCTTTTACTTATGATTTACTAGTGGAATTTATTTCGGAATAATCAAGTTTAGGCGTATTCACAAACAAATTTCTCTGATTATTTTAGATGCCTAAATCGCCGAGTTAACCATTTATATTTGAAAATAATTGCTATTTTGAACTAATATCAGCAGAAGAAACAATGAGAAACGTAGATTATCAAACGACTACTTCTGTTAAGCTTTGAGGTTATCCTGTTGTGTAATTCCGTCGGCGAAAGAAAACAAGCAGAGTAAGATCTACGACTTGATGAGCTTCACTGTTAGCAAATGGTCTACAAAGAACTATAGATTCAAACTCAGCTATAAGCCTAACCACTTCATTTAAGCCTTATATTTATGAATTCATGCTAAGTCAAGGCTAAGAGATAAGTGAATATTGTTTTTGGATAACCGTTATTGACCAAATAAGGCTCAGTCGTCTATAAGAAATATACATATTTATAAATTTGTACACATGTGAAACCGGTTAGCTAATATAACTTTCTGCTCATTACTTGTCGTCTCACTTAAATCGCATACTGCGTTCGAATAACGAAAGCGTTCAAATCAGTATCGAAATTTGTTAATTGCAAAACATAAATTTCGGTCTATTTGTAGTTCAGCACGAAACATGATCCACTGTTATTAATGAATCAATACTACACTTCTGACTTCATGGATATCACAGATCACAACCTTTCACCAGAATATCAAAAAATCCCCTAAAATTCTAACCACGGATTGAAGAGATAATTGTGATTAAATTGACCAACTTTGAAATATTGTATTAATTAACGAATGCCTCATCACAAACCAATGTTATCTGGAGTACCATTGAAAACTAAGAAAGATTAAACAGATAATTCATCTGAGTCTTAGGGCTCATCAGCATTGCATGGAATAAAATTACTCAACACCCTCTCTCCCTTCCAACTTATTAAATTCTATCATTGAGAAAAGTTCTTCTTGTTATACAAGCACAGTATTACATTTAGCTAATTAAGTTTGATTTAGAAATTGTCCATCTAGTTTAAGTAGCTGCATTTAAAAATCGAATGAAATTGTTTTACTATGAGAATCGAAACACTACAGTTGAAACAATTTATACCAACACTAGTCAGACAGAAATTAACTAAATAATACCCTACTGTTGACAGGAAAGTATCACCATATTGTTGACTCAACTTAAAGCTATTATAGTTTAGTATCATGACAATTCTTCATAGTTCTTCTGATGTCTTTTCTTTGAGTCTCATACAAGTAGTTTCTTTGTTATTGCATTGATGTTTTAAAGAAACATTTTATGAATGTTTAATGAATTTCGTTATAACGATTTTTGAACGATTTGTGAGTGATATCATGGAGTCAAATTTTTTCTGTTATTCGACAGAATGTATATGTAACTAATAGCTATGATCGTACAAAATAAGCATAAATATCTTGTATCATATTTCAGTTTTATTGATTAATTCATCGTATATGTATTTTACAATGATCATTCCCTCATATTACAAGTCATCCTTATATCACCCCCACACAAAAATGTGCAAATAAGAAACTCATACGCATGAAATATAATCATAATTGCACTACTAACTATCTGAAAGGATACGGGATAATAGAAATGAAGCGAACCAAATTAGAACGAATATCTCCCTCCAGGGTAGCATTTCAACATATACAAAGCTTCAATTAATTTTTAGAAAATATGTAAACGTATATAATCCCAGGAATACAAACTAAATGTACGTGTATTCTATGATATGTGTTTGTTATGTTTTTAAATAATGTTCTTTGAAACTATTTTGTTTTTAAAACAACTACGTTCGAAATAAGGCAGTGTGAACAAAAATACCTTCATACGGGTTTATTTTAATTAAGTTCTATTTATTTTATTCGTTTACATTTAGATAAAATAGTGTAAAGAACAATCACAACACGATAATGGTTTCGGTCTGGTCTGTTTGGTTGGGTTTTTGTTCAACTTAATTAGGATTAGGTGGGGAGAAAAATTGGACAAATCAATGTAGAAATCGTTTAAATACTTCTAGTTAACAATACTATTGTTTAGCCTTTAATTTTTTTTTCTAAATGATACTCGAACTTTTGTTCAACATTGAATTTTTTCAATTTAATTAAAGTCTGTCAGTTAGTTAATGCTACATGCTATTTGAATAATTGAGGTTATGGTATGCAGATTACAAAGCATAAAACTGTTTAAACGATGTCTGAAATCGTCTGCACGATTTTCTTTATGTTATTCAACAGTTCGAAAAAAAATTACATTCAAATAGTTTGGGCTTAGATTTATTTTAACCATTCATGTGATACAGTCTTCTCGTATTTTGGGGGTTAAATGAAAGCAAATAGATGATAGAAATGTTCTTACTAAGATAAACGACGACATAGATGATTAGATTTGACAGATATTAAGGAGAAAAGATGGTCTTCCAACTCTATCAGATAAAAAGCTAAATCACATAGTAAAAGCTTTTAATTATTTAGATTCCAGTACGCAGAAACAATTATTTCTAGGCACGGTCTGGTTGAACACTTATTAAATGTAAATGTTTTCCTGTCAAAAAACAAACAAACGACTTAGATACAATGTATGTCACATGGAAATATATATACTTATATGTGGAGATGTAATTGCTCGGCGTAAGCAAAACAATTTTTGCGTAAATGTACCAATTAGTTTAGCGAAATAATCACACAGTGTGCATGTCGATTAAAAAAGAGTAACACTACAATATAATATGTTGTTCGTTGTTCAGATGAAAGTACAGTTTTGTAATTTCGTTTACTACTGTTCTATATAGGCCCACCCACATATCAATTCGTTTATCACAAGAAATGTTTTTTGTTGATATCAAGGAATATGTTTCTTCATTCATATTGCAAACTATTCATACAATACCAGTGTTGAATATGTTTAACTTCAATTAATTGGCAACATCGTACAAACATGCTAAAACGAAACGTTTGTGTAGTCATGCTAGGTTTTTAATGATTGGGTAGTCCAGGTTAGTTCTTAATGAATACTATTTAATTCAAAAATCTCTACAATCCTTCTGTATTGTAATTATTAGTTTGCTACGCAGCTGAATTAAATAATTTAAAAATATCCTCAGCCTAAATACGAGTAAAGTGTGTGTACATTTGATAATCACGATGTAATGTTTTTATGATTCTTTCACAAAATGTCCACAATTCTCTAATAATTTTTTGATGAAATGTAAGGAAGTCTAGTTTGAGGTAAAGTTAAATAAATTCTAGCGAGGTTAAAATAGATAATTCTTGATCTTTCTTGAAAATAATTCAACTATTTTTTGTGTAGCAAAACAAGAAAAGTAAAATATTGATCAAACATTGTACTGCTGCCTAAGAGAATCTAGTTATCTAACCACAATATGAACAGAATGGCACGAATTCAAGGGGATGAAATGCGTAAGTTCAGAGTGAAGTATTTTCACAGATTACTTTTCACAGATATCACAGGCTTCTACATTTCACGAAGCAAAGTATAAAGTTCACTTCATAATAATATTAGTTTAAAATTAGAATGTTACTGGACATTATAGATAATAGTTAGTAAGTGTTTGTAAAACGAAAATTTATTGCTTGAAAACATTATCTTCTTGAAATGCTAGACCATGTGTACCAGACAAAACACGAACATGTAATCTCATAAAAAAGAGAAAATGTTTGCGAATGTAATCTGCTCACATAACTGTTGGATAAATGTCATTCTAAAACCAATTATGAACGCAGCTTTGAGTCACACATTCATTTCGTAAAACCAGCAAGTTTCAAACCCGTGAAGGTTATTAATTCCTTCAAGAATGAATCTAAACTCTACCAGTGAGTGGTAACTTGAACAAAATGTAGGTCCAGAATTTCCAGTTAAGTAACTTCAATAACTGAACATGAAAATGTCGTGATGGCGTTTCTGAGTCTCTCGAATCAATGGATGCAGCGCGATTTGACTGGAGGGATTTGATCACCACCGGTCATGACTTCTCACTAGAACTCTGAGAATCTCCTCACAAAAACAGTCACTAGTGGGCACATGGTATGGTATTCATTAAAGGGTTGTAGAGATTGTTGAGTTTGATTGTGGAAATCACTGGAGTTACATCTTGTCGGATAAGAGGCAGTCACCCTACAGAAGACAATGAGTAAGGTCGCGGAATACCATCAACTGATCGAAGTCAGACATTAACATCGTTGGATGCCGACTCAGTAGTCAAAATGTTAAGCATTTGCGCGCGGGACCAAAAGGCCCTGAGTTCGATTCCCATGTGTGGGGATCATGCACGCGCGCTGTTGATGAGTACCAGACTAGGACGAATCGACCGTCCTGTGCTTCCGTGTTTCCAATGCTGGTCTAACATTGATCAATTCATGATTTCAATGAAAATTATCATTATTATGAGCCTGAGTGTTGAACCTCCGATAAAAATCAAAATTAATAATGGCATTTCTATAATAAACAAACAACAGACAATTTATTCATAGATTTCATAACATATGGTGTAGGTCAAAATATAGATTCCATAAAGTTCATATATATATATATATATATATATATATATATATATGCATGTATGTATAATATTAACTTTATAAATGTGAAAGAATCAAATCAACTAACATTCATGATATTATTTGAATCATTTACATCTTGTTTTTCAATTCTCTTCTATCTTTCTCTCTCTCTATTACCTTTCTAAATACTGCATATCACACGTATGAATATTGTTCTTTAAGAACAATAAAAAAAAAACGATGTTGGCTTTCTTTTTTTTTCTCTTTAATTTTCATACTTTGCATCGCTTAATGGAGTTTTTTATTTTTTTGATTTACCCACTTTCATGTACTTCATTCAATCTTTCACTTCCTATCTTTCTTATTCCAACTTATTTTCTAATGATTATTCTTTTCTACAATATTATTATTATTGAATGTGTTTTGCTGTAATGTGTGTGCCTACGAAAAGTATTCATTCTGACACATATAACCTAAATGATGGTAATGGGTTGAAAAAAAATAGAAGGGAAAATGGGGATCAACATATATATAATTATATATATGTACATATATATATATATATATATATATATATATATATATGACAAGAAGAAGAAATGCTGAATATCCCTATCTAAAAATGAATGTCACATAGTGTACTTTTTTTTTGCACCAATTTAAAAATCATACAAGGCAAAAGGAATGTACATTCCAAAAAAAATGAAATAAATTGAAAATACAATATAAAGAAAACAAAAGTGCTTTTTTTCTTTCGTTTCTTACCTGTAACTGGGCTAATTTGAAAATTTCCTGTTCACAATTCACATAATCCATTGTATACAAGTATAAATTGATCAATTGAACAATGGCTTTAGCTTGAATATTAATAGCTGATATTGTTATATGATTGAATTCATTGTTATGCTGCATTGGATTGGAAGTGTTTAAATTCACATTGTTGTTTTGTTGAGTGGGAAGGGATGTTTTTAAATTAGTTATATTGGATACATGTTTGATAGCCTCTTCACAGAAATCAATAATCTTAGTTAAATGCTGTGATAAACTGGTGTTTAATTTATTGTTAGAATTTGTTGTTGCTTGAATGTCATCATCTTTAAAACGATTCGTGTTAAAATAATCACCGCATTGAGTTTGAATATCTAACATATAGACGGATGCTAATTGTAGAAGAATTCTAGAATATTGGCAAAAAGTTAGGGAATTTTAGTATTTGTGAAATTCAATTTAGAAAACGAAGTTTGTGGAAAAAAATTACTGGCTCATTGAATCAAAGTTCTCTCTTTGGATTAAACTAGTACTTACTGCTTAAATACTTAAATCAGTAGAAGTTAGATAGTACTACTATGAACGAAGATGATATTAAAAACAAGTCTGCAAACAGATACTAAGGAATGTGACAATTATTTATTAATGTAGCTTGTTTACAGTTACATTAAAATGGGGACAAAATGAGGAGTCATCTGTTGAAAACAATGAAAAATCTAATAATAATAGGCCTCTATTTTTTTTGAAATCCAGCAAAATTCAATTAAAGGGTTATACGATTAGATCACTACATAATTAACTGATTTTCTAATATCATTCCAAAGTGGTTGGAGTACTTTCAGCATGGGGTTGTTTAAAATATTGAATTTCATTGAAATCCTGATTTCTGAGTGCAGGGTCATGGATACGCACTGCTGAGAAGCTTCATACCAGAACGGAACGACAGTGTACGTATACTTCCAAGCTTTCCATACTTATCTAACTTAGATTGCTTCATGATTTTATTGATTAGAGTACCTTTTCAGAAGAAACATTAAGGTATAGCTTTGACAACTGACACTGACTTCCCATGACTTACAATTCTTGGTCATCTAAAATTGAATTACTATTTATGGTTTAAATTAACATTCATATCACTATGCAACTGAAAATAATATTGCATTGTTAATCAGTTCATGCATATTGTTAGTTGGTTAATTAAATTAATAATTATCAACATACGGTTGTGTAAATTGTTGAGTTTCATTGAAACCATGAACTGATCAATGTTAGACTACGATAGAAGACCCGAAAGCATTAAGCTGCCGATTAGGCCTTGTGTGAGATTTCCCAGCAGAGCGTATCCATGACGACGTGCACAGGAAATGAACCCAAGACCTTTGGTTTTACGCGCAAAATCAATCGACACACAATATTGCTCCACCTTATCCATTGTGTTCGATGGGTAACCACTTCACATGCAACACGGCTGGCTACCAAAAATCAGACAATGCTCTCTCGAAGCTCGTCAATGGTGAGCTAAGGATAGCAATCATTTTGCATGATAGTCTAGCATTGGTCGGTTCATGATTTCAGAGAAAATAATAGTTGGTTTTGATAGAACTAGGAGAATTGATAACTGATCAGATAATCATGATAGAAAATTTTAGGTTTATTAATTGTTTGACATAGGATTTCCTAAATGGTTTGAGAATGACCGTATAACGTTAGTGCAGAATCCAATCAGCTCGTTAAGTAAGTCGGATTAGAATATACATGTATCATCACTTCCGCACTGAATCCATACAACATACATTTTCTTGTGTACTTTATGTTTATAAAATGGTTACAGTCGATCAGTCAATTAGTTATCTCACAACTAATATCAATCAACATTATTTTGACTTTTATTGAAGTAACTGCCTTGGTTTAGTTGATTGAATACTCTTTATCAAAGCGATTCACATTTAATGCAGCAAACCTGTTCCTTAATTACAAAACATCTCTTTTCAATAAGTGGATTGATCTTATTTGGTTATCGAATTCTATACTTGGTGATGAGTAGACTTTCGTTTAAATAACCTTGACAGAATCGATTGCAACGAATGACTACATTCCTTCGATTCGAATACTGTAGTGTCAATAAAGTACATTAAGTAGCAGATTTTGAAAGCAAAGTATTTGCAAGTATTTTGAAAAGATAATTTTCACTGTGGAATTATTTACACAGAAATTATTTCTTAGAGCATTTAAAGGTTGAACAATAGTGAGATTATGAGCAAATATCAATCTTAGAATTAATAACTGATATTTGCCGATAATTTGTCTGGTTTGGGAAAAAAAAGCAAACAATTTATCAGTCAACTTACTCTGACATACTGATCTTTTGTTCATTTACCACATCGCCAACTTCAGTAGTCTGGATACGTTTAAGTAATCTTGCTTGAATTGACTTCAGACTATTTAAAGTAATAATTCGTTCGTCAAGTTTATCATTTTCAATTGTTTGTAATTTGACTAATAATTTTAAACCATGACATAATTCTTGTAGTTCATTCATATCAGAAGCTTGTGGAAGAATTAGTACATTTTTTGAAAAAGATCAATAAAACAGGATGAGTGAATATTATTTATGAATGAACTAAATACAACGTCAAATGAATTTCACCACTAGGAAACAATATAGAGAAAAAATGATTAATACATCTTATGTTATTTAATATTTCAACAGAACAGTATTGAACATGAAGTGAATTTTATTACGTTGGATTATCTAGTGAAATTACGTAGAATTTTAAAGAAAGATATTTCTCAATGTAAATTGATACTAATTGCTGAATCAATCGAAACCGAAGAAAATTAAGTCACTATTTGATATTATTTTGTATATTCTCACAAGTTCTCACAGGAGAACATAATGCCTAACGACCGACTGCCTCGACGAACTATGTTTTGTAGTGTAGGAATAGGTTGGAAGAAAGTTAGGGGCGGCCAATCCAAAACATGGCAGAAATCCATGAAGTCATTGACAAGTGGACTGAGTCATGTCGTTAGTTGTCGACTACGTGGTTGGGGTCTGCGAAACGATAATAATCGATGGTTAGAGACCTTGAACGACATGGCTCAAAACCGTTTACAATGGCACCGGTGCATTTATTCTTTGTGTTCTCTCAAATCCTAATCTTCTGGGTTCTTCAACACCTCTAGTTTTGACTTCCTAAACTTATCTCACTGAATCATACTTCTTGAATAATATCTTCTAATCCTAACCCCTCCGATTACTTCGAATACCTTTACTACTTCTTTTACTATTGGATTTGAATTGACAATTATATCTCTGTGCTGATGTGGTATGGCGACATGAACTGATGTACTTAAGTACGAAGTTCTACGTTGCACCTGACTGACGGACTGACTGGAGAACATAATAGTGAATTGAACTGAATACCAATTAGATTGCATATTGTGTCTCAAATTAAATTTTATTTCATAATGGATTAAATTAAATTCTTTCAGACATTGGAATTCAAACACTCACTATCACCAAAATTGTTTCCTTCTTCTTAAAGTAATATTTTATTCATATCAGTACAAGCAAAGGCTTTAGGTTAAACTAATATAACAGGAAAATGTTCAAAAAGGGATTAATGAACAGCCGATAAATAACGATGCAATGGACAGCATATATATATATATATATATATATATATATATATATATATATATTGCGTGTGAATACTTGGTTTTTAATTTTCGTCACAGAACCTTAGTCCATATTTTCATATTATTAATAATACAAAGATTCAAGGACTAAATATTGAAACAACAAGCAGTAACATGTGCTTAAAAAAAGTTATGAAAAGGTATGTACGAACATCTGAGAACATAAGTACACGCACCAAAAACGATACAAATGTTACGCATTATGATCAACAAATAACTACATCTGCAATAAGAATGTTTATTTTTAAAAAAATCACCCACAACCTTCAATAATCAGTTTTTAATTTGTTGGCTTAGTAAAGACCAACAGCTAGCAGAACTACCCACTAAAGGCTAATCTTTGCTCTGATTATTCTACAATAACATATAATCAGTTAATATTGAAACTGCTCACGAAGCAAATAATATCATGATCGATAAATATCAAAACCACATCAGCCATTTCATGAGTCTAGAGACGTTTTAGATTACATCTTGAGTGTTAGATCATATCTATGAAAGATTTTAGGTAGAAAGAATTAGGCAAATATACTGATCATGTTAAAGTATCCAGTTGAAGTCGTTCTTTATTTTGCAAGGTGAAATATGAGTTATTAAAATATAATATTTCATTGTTAGCTTATTATTTGTAGGGGTTTCAGGGGCAAGAAATCAAAATAAAAATCAAACATCACATTCTATTTGGTTTCTGAATAATTTTCAAAGTCTACATGGTTTATTTATATTTAAAAATGACCGATATTTATGAATGCGGTAAGACAGAATGAACTGGAATAAGCATGTACAGTTGGTGCTTCTGAGTGGCAGTTATTTATGCATGATAAATCTTGCATATAAATAAGCAAGATATAATACATTGAGCTGCTAAAAATAAATAAATGCATATTACTCATTCTGAAATGATATGGTTCAATATTCTAATACAATAAAAGTTAATAGAAGAGAGGTATGTTAGGTGGCACTGGACGAGCGTTTCGTCTTAGATGGCACTCATCAGCTGGATGTAACTCATTCTCAAAATTGATGTTTACTCCGGGACTCAAACTCAGTACCTTACACAGAAAATGCCAACACCTTATCCAATTAACCACCCGCTTGTGCAATGAAGTGAAGATTAATTCTTATGTATTGCTTGTTTGAATATTTCCATTCAGAATTGCAATTGATCAGTTCCTTTGACATATATCCCAAACATCAGTGGGAAGATTGAAACAACGAATACAAATGAAAGAAAAGTTATCTTTAAAAATAATGACATTTTATAACAAACGTTTGACTGACATAACATACATTTTTTGTTATTGTCCAATCAAATTTGTAAGCAAAATAATTGGAAATAAAGCAGTTCATACGTAAACTTCATTCAATTAAAAAAAACATAAAAATTGTAATGACTATAAGAAAAGTTGTTAAAGATCAAACAATTATAGGTGGCCGATAATGAAAACTATGTAATAACTTTAAACACAAGAAAAACAATTGTTAGATTAAAGCAGTTGCGGTGATCTACAATTTTACGTAGGATATCATAGAAAAGGAGTACAGTTTTGGCTCTTTGGAAAATAGACTGGCTATAGATTTCTCACTCATCATCAACTGCTTTGAAAACTGGTGTGATTGTCTTATTCAGAAGATAGTAAGTCGTGGCCAAAACAGCTTACTGTTACGGTCCTTAATTTCAGCCTCCAGAGATACGTTAGCCCCCTGAAGATTGATAAGTCATATCACCGTAAAACTTCTCTTGAGGACTAACTCATCTTCACCATTTACTATTTATTCACAGAAAATTAAAAATGAATATCGAGTAGAAAGTATACATACACAGAATAATTTTTGAGCTCAATAGTTGACTTTATAACTCTGCTAATACAGTTTTAATTATTGATGAAAAATTAGACAATACATATACCATAATACAAACGCATTGTTAGTTCATCTTACCAGATTGCATAAATTCATCAGTTAACATAGAATTGAGTAAACGTCTAGCCTTTTTCAATTGTTTCATATTGATAAGTAAATCTGCTAGATCTAATCGTAAACTATTTTGACCTGTTTTCACTGCAGTCTCATAATATGATACAGCTTTCGCGTAATGATGTATTTTTACAAATGCATGACCAATTTTACTGGCTAAACGTAAATCATTAGGATTTTTACGTAGAATAGATTCATAAATTTCAATTGCATGTTCAGGTTCTTGAATATTCATATAAGCTTCACCTAATAGAAGATAAGCTTCATTTGTATCTAATTTTTCAGCTAATTCTCTATTGGATAGAAATAAGAGAATGTTTGAACAATGAAATAAAAAGAACAAGAGAAATATAATTTTTTTACTATATCATGATGAAATAAAGTCTTTAGTCTATAAAATTAACTCCAGCTGAATACCTCCCAGGGTTACTTTCGGTCCTTAGCCCAGGTAAAGGAGAAAGATTGAGCATTATGTTTGCAACTCCATCCTAATAAAAAGGAACCTCAGTGGGAGAACATCAGCCAGTCTATGAAATTAACTAGTTTCATAAATTTGAGTTTTATTTTTCACATTGCATCCGAAAAGGATATTGAACGTCGTTAACTGACAGCGTTTATCACAGAGTATAGTGAAAAAATATTAATTTAAAAAGATCTATTAATAAAAACCAATAAAATTGTTTGGTAGTTTGTGAAAAATTATCATCAACTGTTAACAATAGGAATAAAGTTCATTGTAATATAATGTTTTAGATCCTAAATAACGTAGTTCACAATTAGGTATCGAGATGTAAACGTGTTCATTCTTTTAAATAAATTGAATTTTGAATTTCACCGTTACTTCCCACGTTACATTTTTCATTGCCTTTAGTGTTTTAAACTACATTTTCTATGTTTAGTTCTTCACTTCAACTCGATGGTTTTTAAGTAGAAAATTTTGATTTGATTGATACTTGAACATGGGTTTGGAAAGCAAAATTATGCCATCTATGTCGATTGACTTTTCTTGCTTTAAGTACTACAATTTTCAAATTGTTTTTTTGTATACAGTATTAAATTATTTTTAGAAAAAATTCTAATACAATTAGTTATGTGAGTAAAATCAAGAAAAATCCAGTTACAGCTAAATAAATCTAACAAAAAATCGGCAAGAATGACCTAATTAGAGAAATGGCATTTTAAATTGATTCCTAAAAATGTAAATCAGCACGTAGACACCAACTTGACAGACATTAGTACATCAGAAAATTTTTCATTTCTAATCCTTCAATAGAAGAAAAAATTCTGTTTCCTTTATTGGGTGGATAAAGCGAAATTCCGAAAGAGCAGGATAAGGTTATGAAAGTAATCAATTTAAACCAGGATCTTTTGAGAATCATTAACATGCATTTTTCAAATCTTGCGTATAATGATAACTTTGAACAAGTAATATAGTGGTAACAACGATATGAATATCTGAATTTATGAGGATTATAATATAAGCATAAAGATGAAGTTTTCATCAGAGTTTGATTTCGTTTCAAGAAAATTTGACTCCAGGAAAAACTGAAAACATTAAGGTTGCTTGTGTCCAAAACTAGGGCAAAATAACCTTTTACCATTGTTCGATTTTCAGCAGTTCTTATCAAAAGTCATTGTTTTTTTAGGGAACATTTTGTAAAACTTTAATGAAAAATTAGACAGAGATTCAAGACATTTTCTACAATTTAATGGAATCTGATTAGTAAAAAAGCAACGTGCATAAGATGCGAAGCTATCTAATTAGATAACAATAATAATAATATTCCCTTTTCTATTTAGGGTTTATAAAAACTAGCCCATGTCTACCTTTCATAAAGTTTATTAATAATTTAACCAAAAGTTTACTGATTTACGATACTTCAAATTATTGTTAACAGTCTAATTATGATTCATAACAATATCGAAATCAAAAATAAACGAGGCCGCGTATTATTCCTCTAAAGTGTTTAGACCTGTTTGACATTGAATGCATACAAATATTAGTCTTTGTGTTACAATGATCACCTTGAATTTAGGTTTCACAAGTAAACTCTAGAGTTAACCGTGTAAAAATCACTTATTTCGTTAAAAATGATCATAATAATTATCTCTGCATTAGATTTCAAACTTTTGGAGTGCCCCTTCTGTGAGTAAATACCATCCCATTATCTATCAATGATGATCTTTAAATAAACTATAAAAAATCGAATACGGTGGTAAATGTTAGCTTTCAAATTTGTCTGACAAAAATGACTTGAATAATTCTGAGAAACGCTTAATTTCTATAATGTCAGGTGATTGAAAGTAGTCAGGAGAAAATTCTGGACCTGGGTTTCCTGTTAGTTGATATTATTAGTTAGCAAAGCATTCTTGGGTTCAACCATGGATCCGCAGTCATGTCGATAAGTTTTAAGGTCTAAGATCGCACCACTCACTGAGTTACTCTCTACATATCATCAAAATTTTATATTACCTGTAACAAGCAATATACAACTTCTTCTCTTTTCTATGATGTAAATAAATATTGGCCATATGTTGTTGTGCAGTTATATGATATGGATGATCCGGTTGAATTTGTCTTAAAGTACTTAGAGCTGCTTCATAATTATTTTGTGCTAAAGCTAAATTAGCCATAGCTATTGTAACTTGTGCAACTTCTACAGTTCCAGCAAAAGTTAAATAAGCATCTTGTAAGACTTTTGTAGCTTCATGCTATGATCATAGAAAAAGAGAAAAATGTTAAAAATTTCAGTACTCATTACTACTTCTTTAAAAATCAAAAGAAAAACTAAAACATGGATACTATCTTTTGGCTCTCTTAATTAGTTGCAAGCAACATTAAATGATTATGACATTATCTACTGCTCTTCAAAAGGAATTATGAAAAGTGTCCGAAAAAAACAGTATGCAAAACTGGTTTCAATTTACAGAAACCAATGAAATGAGTGGATAGACTGGAAATCAGAAAGAGTTTGAGAAGTACATTTGCACATTAGCCAAGAAGAAAATGCAATATTTTCCATTCTGAGTTTGAAAAGCGAATTGATTTGTCTCAGACGCATGCCGTGTAGAGCATTTAATTAGGGATTTTTTTAACCCAATGCATCAAAGAGGAACGATATGGAAACCTGTATGCAGCTGCAATAAGTCATGAGTTACAGTCACATAGTAAACTAATCAAACCCCAAAGCAACCTTGTTCAATTTCTGTTTAACCGGAAGTTAAGTATCACTGTGGATGGTAATCTGGTAACTAGATCATTTTATGACTGTTTCATTTACAGAATGTTTATTCTTATCTAACAGTTTACCATAAAACCATGGATGTCTGCGAAATAGATATCAGATGTTTGCAACTACCTCGTCTCATATAGTAAATATCTGTTTAATGTTTGACTAACTGGTATGAAGTGGTAACTTAGCTAAGTGCACACGTAAATTGAAATAATCAGAATAAATGTGGTTTACAAGAGATAAGAGAGATTATGTACTATAAATTTGGATCTCGCGGATAAGTGGGTATTTCAGCTGAATGAAGAAGAGAATTTCGGTCTCTAATTTCTTACAAATATTTCAAAACAATGTATGTCGCGGGATTTAGCTTAACGATAAAAAATCAGCATTTAATGATCTGAGATAATATTACAAATAAACTGCAATTAAGAATGTGAACCACTGATCTCCAACTAATTGGTCTACAAAATAATAGGCCTGTAGAAAGATTTGAATGGAGTGATACAAACTAAGTTGCGATGACTGTTTACTGCTTTTCCAACTTTGAATAGTTCCCAAGCTGAAATCATTTTTTGTGGCTTAAACTTGTTTGTAATGGAGGCTATCTGTTGGTTAACCTTGTTTACTTGATTAAGTGAAGAAATTACTTTGCCGTTTTTAAGTACCAAAACCTCTTTGAAATATTAACAGTACTTTGACGATACTACTCAAGTCCTGAAATTTATTCAATATCTTCCTAAATAAGACAATATTATTCAAATAAAATCAATTTGTGATTACCGTTAGATAGGGTCATTTAAATTATAAAGATTAATTCTAAAAATTCATAGCATGCCAATGCAATTTTCAAACAAAATTAAGGAAATGAATGTTACAGTATACTGATGAACACAGTGGCGTTTAAATTTCAGTCGGAGTATTTAATGAAACGTTTTTATTAGTTTGAATCTATTTAAATGGGATCAGTGATATACTTGGACTATAAATTTCTGATCACAAGTGCTTTGGAAGCATTGTTCGTGTAAGTGGAACAACCAAGGTTCGGCACAAGTTACTAGACTAGATGAGGCTGTAAATTTTCATGTGTTACTCTTGCCTAACCACTATCCACCTCACTGTGCGATGTTAGCTAGTTTAAGAGTGAGTTGCAAAAAAGCTCGAGGTAGATTTTGTTCTCACTTTATAAAGCCATTGATTATTAGTCCAAGAAGCGTAAATAGATTAAAACCGTTTGGTTAGAGTCTACACAATAACCACAATCTCTGGTTAGAGACATTGTACAACATGGCTCAGAAATGGTAACACTAGCATAGTGATTTCAATCTGCATCGTTTTTAGATCACGATCTATGGCACACCTCTCAATATTCTCTCTTCAAAAAATATTCCCTATGTATGCTCTTAATTGTGATCAATTTCAGTACATTACTTTGACTCTTTTTACTATCCATCCTATTAATTTAATTTCATCGTGCTCTTGTGGTATGATCACTTACGTTGGCACCCATTTTGCAAGATTCTACATTTTCATTAAGTAAATAACTGACCGGTGATAACAAAACAGTATCAACTAAACTATACTGTATCAGCAATCAGAACAGTGAGAACAATTCAAATTTACCAGAACTAATCATCTTTAATGAACCAGATATTTAAAAAAAAACCCATAATCTTACTTGTTCCCCTAAAGTTTTGTATGCATCAGCAAGTTCAGTGTACAGTGAAAGTTTGTCAGATGGTGTTATATTACCAAATGAATAATCAAAACCATTCGATTTTAAAGGTTGTGAATTATTTGAAAGATTTGCAATTGCTTGTTTTAATATTTGTACTGATATTTTAGCTGAACCTTGTCCTTTCATTAAACGTGCACGAACAAGTTGATATAATGGATGATTACGTACTTCAAAATTATTTCCTACACCAGTTTCTAAAGTTTGTTCAGCAGCTTTTAAATTTGACATATAAAGATAGATCTGTGAAAATACAAGTGAAATCAAATTCAAATATATCGGTGAAAGTTCATTGTATTTATTTCAATAACGGTTTTAGAACAAGTTGAACGCATAATAAAATAAATATATTATACTATGAATACTAGGTAAAACGTCACATGAACAAAGTACCATACACGAGTGGTAATACTACAACGACTGAGCGTAAAAGTAGTATGCAGTAGACATGCAGTGTAGCCCTGAAGTTATGGCTGAACAGAGGATTTTCGGATACGGAATTATGGAACGATCTGGGTGTTTTGAAAAATGCAAATGAATGGTGTGCATTTTTTGGCTAGTAGATTGTGTTTACAACATTTAAAGGCTTATCTGATAAAACTTACTGACCCACTTCATCTCTGGGTTTCAAATCCTATGGTATTAGTCAGTTTCCGATAGTAGTCCCCGTTCAAGGAAATGAAATTAAAAGAAGCACAGAAAATCAGTGCACTTATTGGGACTTTGTATTTCCATTTAAGCATCAGGTACAATGTTTTACTAATAGTTAAATAGTGAAAATCATAAAAGATGAACAAAATGATATTAAATCTGTATTTGTAGGTGAAGTAGTCTCTGGAAAAATTCGTATTTACTCAGAACGTTTCAAGAAAGCAATCAGGTAAAGTAATAGAACACATCAGAAAAAATGATTCATTAAAATTAACGTAAAGTGTTTCAAATGAATATTTTATGTATGAAAGATAATTTGTAGGATTATTACTATTGTCAAATAGCTCAATGATTTTATGAAAAGCATCATTAATGGTAAAAGTCTATGCATCGATTCATTTCCTTAACGACTGAGTTACATAAGTTTAAAATCTATTTCTGAAACAGTAGAAATAATCTTATTGAAGATTTAACAGCTTTTAAATAATTATTATTTAGAAAAATTATAATTAAAAATCTAAATTGAATAATGAACAACGTATCTAAAAATTACAAATACTTTTTTTTACGTATGCATACCCCTAGACCGATCGGTGATTCCGAATATGAACAGTTGCATACTACTAAAGTAAGAAAGAACTTTTGTGTAGGACATTGATATTATGGGTTGTTTAAAAATCAGTACATCTCAACAGAAACAAATCGAAAAGGCGTGCAGACTGAAAGCCACAAATCATTATTTAAAGAGACAATGTCGAAGTGAAGTATTCAAAGGCCATGCAGGACTAGTAAAAGAATTTTCAACATAGAGAAAAAACTTCACTATTTATTCGATTATAATAATGAGACTGGAAGTATAGTTATTTAGACTACGTTTTTATATTTGAATTTATCAACTCGAATGCTCCTACAAAACTGAACGGTCCCCTAAGGCCCATGGAAAACTTATATACTAGATCAGATAAAGGTGTGGCTAAAGTTCAAGTAACTCAGTCTTAAATTATTTGCCTTACATTTGGCTATTCAGTTCAATCGATTTTTTATTTAACTGTGAAAGACTGATCAGAATTTACTGAAAATAACATTCTTTGTAAGCTTTAATAAAATGAGAATTTTCAAACAAAGCATGTTTTGGTAACAGAATGGACGTATTAGACTTTAAATGAAAAATCGTAGTAACTGAAAGTGATTAATCCAAGATGTCCACAGTAAAATTACCAAACAAAACTCCATCCTTTTCTATACGTAGACACTACACCTACGCAAATTGGCATTCAGTCCTACATCTAGAGTGCAAACACACTACACATGAATGAGACAAGCTTTCATCGGTGCGTATGTATATATATATTTGTAGATGTATTCACCGTAAACTTTCTGAATTCTCCTACCCTCACTCATATTTATTTATATATATGAATTGAATACACGACCATATATGGAAAAAATACTATTCTGTAAAACTTTCACTGCGTCACGATTCCCTCCGCTTATTAATTAATAGACATTGAAATCAGTAAATTTTAGTACCAAAAAAACTATTACACTATTTATTGTAACTAATTTTATAAATCATTATCTTCAATACTTTGAAGAAGAATAGACAACTTACATTGAGCGTTGAGTTTTTAGAAAATGTTCAAGTGCGTATATATTAAATTTGTAAAACAACCTCAGTGATTGTAAATTTAGAATATTTAGCATTTTGCCCAACATTCTAGTAAAAAAAATGATATAATCAAAATCGAATGAAAGTTAACAAGCTTACATAAGGTTTAGTTTATTAGTGAGATTAGACAAAGTTTACTACTATTTCTAACAGGATGCAATAAAATATACGCCGATATTTATGTGTTTTTCAATCAGCAAACTTCTAACAGTTTCATTTCATCCTTTTTAACATTTAGCTTTATGATAACCATGACCTAATAGTAATATAAGATTTTCGCCAAGATAATTCTTGTTACATTATAAGCATAGAATACATATTCATACAGAACGTCATATGCCTCAGTCTGAGCATGATTTACATTAGCCGGTTCACATTCAAACCACAAACAACATCTGTATCATCATAGTTGAAATCACAAACTGATGTTTCAGCTAGATCGCCACTAAAAACCTCAAAACTTTGGATGGCTGTCTCGTCCTAGAATGGGACTCTTCAGAACTGTGCATACATGGCCTCGTACACGAAAACTGAACACAAGATCTCCAGTCTTGAGCTCAAACGTTAAACTTCTAGACAACTAAGGCCAATCCATGATGTCGCTCTACCTTCATCAGCTAGTCCCTACATCGTTAGATAATCAAAGTTGGTGCAAGTTAAACTGGTAGATAATATAGCGCACCAGTTTCATACTTCTAGACGAAAGCAGAGAAGCATATTAAATTCTCAGCATTTCAAAACCCTGATATTTTCTTGTTGAAGCCCCTAATAAAGGATCAGATGTGATTAATATCAAAATTATGATTGCAAATGTACGGCATTATCCATCCTCAGTAATGAGTGAATTTACGTATGATGTCTAATATGAAAGTGGTAGAGGTAGTAGAAGTATGAGCAGTGGCCGGAAAGATTAGGGTTTGAAAATGTTATTCAAGGAGTATAACCTAGTAAAACAAATTTTAGGAGAGGATGATGCAGGTTACAAGGAATTCAGATTAGAATTTGGGAGAACACAAAGAGTAGATATCTCTAACCATCGGTTACTATCATATAGCGGACCCCAGTCAGATAGTTTACACCCACTAACAGGATTCAGTCCACTTGTCAGTGACTTCAAGGATTTGTACCATGTTTTGGTCTGGTCGACCCTAGCTTTCTTCCGACCTACTCCTACACCACAAAATATCGCTCCCCGAGGCAGTCAGTAGGTGAGTATGCGTAGCAGATGTCCCAACCATCTGAACTGATGAAGATGCAGTACTTCATCTATTGATTTTCCATCCTTACCTAGTACCCTGTTACTAACAACTGCATCTCATTCTCGACAGTGTGAAACAGCTACACACAAATAATATTGATAAACAGAAACTTAACCTCATAAAACTCAAGGGCTACGAATACCCTCATTTATATGGATTACCAAAAATTCATAAATCAAACTTTCCTTTACATCCAATTTTATCCGTACGTCGACCGTCTAAGTATAACCTGGCTAAATGGTTGAAGAAATTGTTCGATCCCATTCGAAGACGCTTATATAAGTATTCTGTGAAGGATTCTTATAAGTTGGTCGATTATATAAGTTATATTAATAGCAAGGAATAAACAAGGTGTTCTTTTGACGTTAATTCTTTGTTCACAAATGTACCTTGATATTTAAGTGACTACATATCTTTGAACAGCCTTAAACTAACTTCTAAAAATTCTCAAAGATTTAATAATATTATTCACTTCTATTTTGGAGGTGGACAATTTCACAAGATTGATTGTGTTGATATGGTTAGTTATAAACAGCTGATGTGTTTATGGTACATAATAAAAATTTATCTAAAGGCCTAAATAAAGATAGGTAATTTTATAAGAGATATGTAAATGATATCTTATGATAGTTGTTATAAATAGGAGGACATGAATCGTTTGCTCAATAAACTGAACACTCCAAAAGCACTACTAAAAGGAGCAGAAGAATCAACTTTCTTTTCAAGACATACTTAATAATAAGCGAGATGGTTCAATCAAACAACCCATTTCAAGGAAGCCAACTTGAACTGGTCATAGTTATTATCCAGTTCAATACAAAAACGGCTTGGTAAAAGGACTGTTTAGTTGTATCTTGTACAACTGGTGCAATTAAACATGAAGTTAGTTTGTTGAAACAAATGCTGATGGAAAATGTATACCCCGGAAAAATCCATAAATCGGTAGAAAGGTCACAATGTCACGGACCTATTACATGTTTAGTGCAAACAAAGCCTGTTTATATCACTCTGCCATTTAGAAGCAAGTCAAACAGCCTTACATTGAAAAAAAGCTCAAATCTTTTATCAATAATGTCATTTGTAAACTGACTTCATTTTTTGGTTCTCTGAAGATAAGAATTGCCCATTTTTCCTATAATTTTAAAATTTTGATTCTTTTCCTTGCGATAACATGGTTTTTCACATGACTGTCCTTATTTTGTTTTAATCACTATACTTTGGCGTCCACCATATTGAATGATTGGATTTTTGATTGTAATTGTTTGATTTGATTATCCATCATGGATAGAAAGTATATTTTCTGCTTGTCAGAAACATGTATTGCTGTTAAAAATGTTGATCACTGATTTTCTGAGTAAGTTGACAATGCTTTGAATTATAAGATATCGTTTTCTGTTCTGTAGGAGACCATTATTGTTTTTGATCCTTTGATTTTACCAATTCTACTGGGCATGAATAGGACTGCATACGTTTATATCCGAAAATATTCAGGTAATTAATATATTTTATATGTATATTTACACCTCTATAGTTTTTCCGTTGATCTTCAGATGTTTGGTTGGGGCATTGCAGATAATGTGTCGAAGGTGTACAGAACATTATAAAATTATGACCTTCTTCAGCATCACTTCTGGTTTAATTCTGTGTGATGACTGCTCAGTGTA